TCTCCTCAGAATTTTTAAACTCCTCCTTCCCGAGTTCCTTGCCCGCCTCAACACCTCGGTTGCGCATAAGAGTTCCATACTCAGCTTTCTCCTTCTCAAGTCGGGCAACCTCCGACGCATGCGACTCTTTCAACCGGAGCAGCTCAGCTTCTTTCTCGGCTTGGTCCTGACGGGTCTTTTGGTGATCTTCACGCTCCTTCGCGAGCTTCTCGGTCGTCTCCTTGGCGTTATGCTCGGAGTCAATGATTTGGCTTGATAGCTTGTACACCTCGGTTTCCAGGCGCCTCTTATCCTCCATCAAGGCCACGATCTCGGCCTGTGCTGCAGCCAACTGGTCGGACTTCTCGGTCACCGTCGCTTCAAGTCCCGCTTTCTCAGATCGCAGGGAGAAAATTTGAATGTTGCGGTAGATGACTTTGTCCTTCTTATCCTCGAGCTCGGTAAGTTCGAACGGAATACATCCTCCACTGAAGTTAAACTCACCAAGGCCCTCCCTAGACAAGCCTTCGCATAACTAAATTTCTGAACGTCCGACATCGACGCCAGCATTACCTCTGAGGTCGGGTCCCAAGCCATCAAGGGAACTTGAGCCGCCCCGATCACGTGGGGTGGCTGGTGATACTTGTTCGGGATTCCGGGATACGCCACGGAGTGGAAGTCGGTAAACCACTCGGAAACCCCAGGGGGAAAGTTGAGATTAAGGACCCTCTCCTCGTCGAGAGGCAAGAAAGTAGAACTCTTGTCTTGGTGCACCGGAGCGTTCCTCTCTTCCAGGGTCAAAACGGGGTCATGCCTCATCTTAGACCGACGCTCCCCGGCGGTATGCGGCTCATCTTCAGGTTTATCTTTGATTTGCGCTTCTTACGGGCATCAGTCCTCTCCGCGTTGTTCTTTTCCCCTTCAGCCTCCTCGGCGTTGGACACGAGGATATAGACGTCCTGAGGGGTCTTGGGAACCTCTTCCTCCCCGAGATCGGGGCGGGTCGGGGACTTCATGACCATCTCGGTTCACTGAACCTGCTCGGCAACTGGGTCAGGCCCAGAGGCCTGGATCGACCTCGGTTCCTCCATTGAAGGCACCGACCTGGCATCGGGACCAGCAGTCGCCACACTCGGCTAGTGGAGGCATTCTTCACACTCTGCAAAAACTTCAAGTGACCCATCTCTATCTCTTTCTCGAACTTGAGTTGAATATCGGTATTGGGAACTTTGCGTCGAAATGCCTGGGCGTCCTCGATCGTTTTAAAACCAAGGAAACCGAGAATGGGATAATAAACTGAAAATCCACACCAAGACGAATC